CGAATTAATGAATCTCTAATCATGTGTCTCTGAAAATATGCATGCTGTTTACATTTCCCATCTCATAGGAAACTATGCCACCCTCTCTGCAAGTCGTGACCCTCTATCGACAATACTCTATTTTCCACGTTGATCCTATCTATATGTGCTTTATATCTTTCCACAATTGGATATCTTGGATAACTAATTAATAGATGTACTTAATGGCTATATATTGATTCATAGATTTAATTGAACTATAAGAATGTTATGATATAGTATATAAGAAAACAAACATATTTATCTATATTTATTGAATTATATGTTTATTATATAAGCTATTATATTTAGAATTATACATTATTAAAAGGATTAAATAAGATTAGAAAATTAAGAGGGTTACAGACTATCAGATTATAAACAATAACGATATTTAGTTTTACGTTGTGTGTGTGCGCGCATAAAGTTAAGGAGATACATTATTAAATATATTAGTCCTCCACCCTTTTTCTTCCCGGCACGTGAGAATCCAAAAAAGGGTTGGTAACGTCACTCTTCCTGCTATTCACGTGCCGCTCGGCCCTGGTCATGCAGCGCATTCCCCCCTTCCCTCGGCGGAAGAGAGATGTATTTCCCGCTTGCCAATCAAGTACGACGAATTCGTCCGGCCTGTTTCTTCTCCCGTCCCCTTGTCTTGCGCTTTCGCCTGTAGGAGGTGAGCTGACGGGTGGGAGTAAGGAAGGAGCCAAAGGTGAGGGAAGAGACGAGGAGCGAAGTTTGAGACATCAGCCAATATCTTCCGCGGACGGGACTTCCGGCCGGAAGTGAATGTTGCGAGTCTCCCTGGTGTTCTCACGTATATGCGAGCCAATTTTCCCCGCTACTTCTTGGCGTCAAAACGTTCCGGGGCTTGGAGTTGCCGCCGCGCGCCATTGCCGATTCTCCCTTCTCATTGCGCTTTCTCAACTCCTTCCTGGCGCTTTGCGGCAGAGGCCAAAGAACTCGATCCAGCCTTCCAGCAAGATTTCTCCGGCCCGTCGGGTCCTTATTAACTGTAGGTTGACAGGTGAGACCCGATTTCCTCTGGCGGCCGCCATTTTCCCATCCGAGGCCCTCGCGGGGATGGGTCCCTTTTTATGCCTGGTTCCGCCGGCAGCTCGGCACTGCGTCTGCTCCGTCAGCCTTCGCAGGGAAGCAACGTTGGTCTTGGGATGAGGCTTCTCTTCCCCGTGTTTTTTTGCCGGCTTCATGCCTTCTCTCTCTCCGCAACCTGGGGGAGAAGATTGTCGCCCCAAATTGTATCCCTAGCAGCCACCCTGCCTCGTTCCCACCCCAAGGAGGGAGCCACGACGGTCTCTGATTTCTTTCTCTTTCTGCCTTTTGTTTTTTTTTGTGAGCCCCTTGTGACTTTCTGACTAGCTTTAAAGTTATGAGTTAAAATCAAACTCCAAAATACTAAAGCTCCTGGATCAACACACCACTCTTGTCCTGCCTTAGTTCATTGTCTCAAAACAAAAGGGTAGCTTTCCCCCAATACTTAGTATACCTTAAACTGAAAGACCTGAATTTGTTGGCCTCCCTGCGTGGCAGCTTTATCTTGCATCTTTTTAAAAGGGGACGCAGGATACTTTGTGCATAACTTTTTTTCTCTTATGTCTCTTAAATGGAAAAGCTAAATGTGGCAGATCTATACAGATTGATTGCTGACATAGATAGCATCTTGGACTCTGGCTTTTAAAAAAGTAAAACCAAAAAGATTAAAGAAAGTAAACTAGAATTATAGGTCATGAAAAAGAAAAAGTATGTCATTCACACAAGAACTGAAAGTAGTATAATTTAGGGTTCAGTCTGCTGATAACCCATACCTTTTCTTTTTGGTTTTGATGATCTGTAGTCAATACCTATGTGTATGTAAGCCATCCGGTTCTGTGGGCATGGCCTAATTTGTCATGTGACTGGGTGGGTGTGGCTTGGTCATGTGACTGGTTGGGTGTGGCTAGTGGGTCATGTGACTGAGGTGGGTGTAGCTAGGTGGCCATGTGACTGGCAAACCAAATATAAGTGGTCCTCACTTAATGGCCAGTTGCTTTGCAAGTGTTCTACGACTGACCTCCCCAGAGCTACTTGACCTGTTTGGTGTTTTGATAGCCATACACACACTTACTTATGACCAGTTACAACATCCCACAGTCTTGTTGACTGAGGTTTTCTATGTTTTTTGCCAGTTTCTAACAATTCCTTCTGGTTTCCTGTTAAAAATGCCCATTGGGGAAAATGGACTTGTTTAACAACCACAGTGTTTGCTTTATGACCACAAGATTCATGGTGTTTGCCTAACCCGGGTCTGCAACCTTAAACACTCAAAGAGCCATTTTTTATTTTCTTTTAAACAGGCATCTCTGTGTGTGTGTCTCATCTCTTTTTCTTTCTTTCTCTCTTGTCTCTCCCTGTCTGTCCTCTCTTTTTCTCTCTTTCCCTCTCTGTGTCTCTCCCTCTCTAGGGGGGGTGGGGGGAAGGAATATAAGTCACTTTTTCAGTGTTGTAACTTTAAATGGAGGCTAAACAAATAGTTGTAAGTCAAAGACTTTCTGTATCTGCTGCTTTAACCTTCCAATTAGCATCTAACTAGATTTCAGCTGCATCTCTGCACCAGGCACAATGGGATAATTTCCTTATTCCCCAAATGCAGGAAAATAACTCAGGCTCACAAGAAATTGTACTTCTGAGTGTTTTTCAAGCTTAGCAACTTTAAGACATGTGGACTTCAATTCCCAGAATTCCCCTGGGCAGCATGAGACCTGATCATTTGATTACTCCCAAGTCAGTAACATGAAAGAATTACCAACTTTAAAGATACTGAGTGTTGGAAGCAGTATCCTTCTGGGTTCAGTTCCAAGTGGGGAAGAAAGACACTGGAAACATGGTGACTGCTTGGAAAGATGGTTTAATGGTGGACAGGATCACATGCCTTGGGTGAAGAAAGAAGGGAAAGAGCTGAGTTGCTGAGAGTCCCTTTGTTATATATCCTCTGTTGGTCCCCACCTTAGTGTTTCCTGGTCCTGTGCAAGAAAACTATTCCATTGGCTGTCAGACTCTCAGGGGCTTGGGTCTTACCTAACTTTGTAGACTTTGTCTGGACCACATGGTTTCACCTGAATGCTGGCTGATGCAATCCTCCCAGGCCAGATGGTGAGATGGGCAGAGGCCTTCATTATGTAGAATACTCTGGCCTAGGCCTTAATGGCCCACTCATTAACAAAGGTGGGGGTGACCTGCTTCTGAGGTGAGTTTCTGCTTCTTGAGTTTCTACTTCTCTTTTTAGGGGAAATATTTTGCCTTTTTAATATTTCC